TTCGATATAGCGGAGGAAGCCGAGCTGCTTTATTCAGTGAGTTTTGGCTGAGCTTCGTGTGGAGACTTGGGAGATACGTGGGAGAGGCATGGGGGAGAGACGGGGGAGAGGCATGGGGGAGAGACGGGGGAGAGACGGGGAAGAGACGGGGGAGAGACGGGGAAGAGACGGGGAAGAGACGGGGGAGAGACGGGGAAGAGACGGGGGAGAGACGGGGAAGAGACGGGGAAGAGACGGGGAAGAGACGGGGGAGAGACGGGGAAGAGACGGGGAAGAGACGGGGAAGAGACGGGGGAGAGACGGGGGAGACAGGCAAGATCCGTGTCTATGGTTCTGTGCGCGCGTCTATGGTCCGCGCTCGGTACATGACCACGCGCGTTCGCGGAGCTGTCAAAGCAGCCACAGTTTCTCCCGGGGTCAGAGGTCAGAGAGGATGAGAGCCGCAGCAGAAGTCAAGACATTAATATATCTCACGTAAATCAAAGTGTTGGTTACTTCTGTTGCCATGTTGACGTACTAGAAACTAGTGAATAAAAGCGCGACCATAGTGTATACTTATTCGAATATGTCTTAATGGAAACGGCCGCTTTTGCGAATTACAGGTTTTTCGAATTTTGAAATGTATCGAAAAAGTTTTTGCGCATTATTCAATGGAAACGCAGCTATAGAATTTAATGCCACTCCATGTCCGATGTCTAAGGTCATCTGGTGAAGCATTAATGCAGGCCAGGCAGTGAGACTTCCCAGGGACTTTTCCAGTCTGTATGAAAGGTGTCATGGTCTTCTCCACAGCCTTCACCTCAGATGCAGACCATGGCTTTCTTACACGTTCTAGGGAGAGAAATAAAAATATATTAGCAATATACACTCCCAGGGTTAGGACCAAGCAGCCTGGCTGTAATCCCCCACCTGGTACACTTACCAGAAGGGGCACTGCCACTACCATGGGGTGCATCTGGATGAATGGTTGAAGGTTCTCCGCTTGAAGTTTCTTTTAGCCCGTCCGTTTGTGAGAGGATCTCTACTGCTCTCCCTGTCGCACAGAAAATAAAAATACAAGTGGCCTTTAGGGGAAAAAAATCATCAAAATACAAGAATTACCTTCAGGCTCAATTTGTATCTGGTCGAGGCTCTTTCCTTCGAATTCCGTCACTCTTCCCTGCTCCATGGCCATCAACACTTTGCTGATTTTGGCCAGCTCCAGTGTCCCCTCTGGTAGTCTGTAATATTGCCTGTGGATGCGAATGTCATGGCCGAGGAAGTTGGCTAGTATGTCCATTTCATTCTCTTTCATATTGAGAACTGTAGACATAGTAGCTATGTGCTTTCTAAGTTTGGTTGAGGATAGCATCTCTGGATGCACCGCACCACATTCTTTGGCTACCTGGCGTAGGGAGTCTGATCCCCTGATGTGGGTGTCTGCGCCCGGGCGGGAAAAGAAGTATGGGTTATGGTCAGAGATGGAACAGGCCCTTCTGTTCTCCACCAGCCACCTCCATCGAAGCAATCATTTCAGGAGTCAAAAGAACCGGCACTTTCCGACTTCTTTTCCCTTTAATTTCAATGCGTTGAAAATGCTGACACAGCTTTTTCTCAAGTTGGGACAGTCCCAGAGCAATGTCAGAATGGATCCCAGTCTTACTTCTTAAGGTAAAGGCTGTCAGTGGCATCTTTGAAACCTCACCTTCCCTTCTTCGATTGAAAATAATGACCTCACAAAGAGTCAAAACTGCCAGTTTAGACCAATGCTTAGACGTTGGCTCACTTATTAGGGTTTGCACATATTCAGGTCGACATACCTCAATATGTGCATGCATGGCTCTAACGTCCTCAGTCAGAGGGAGCAGGTCCGGAGTGTTCCACTTGGCTTGCCGGAGGGTCTGTAGGGCAGCAGAAGAAACACAAACGTCCCACCTCTTCTCAAAAAGCAGCCGGCTTCGTTGGAGGTTTTTAATAAATAGTTCATCAACACAATGCTCCATTTTTGAGTCACATTCAAGAATATCTGCTTTCTGAGGCTATGGCCGAGTTTGAGGGCCAAGGATGGAGTCTTGTATTGATTTGTTTCCTCATAATATCCAGCCACAGACCTGACTGCATCAATCACATGGTTAAAGTTGGAAGGAATAAAGAAATCCTTAATTGTTTTCAGTTTCCCTGCAGTTTTTGCTTCGTTAATTAACCTACCGACTTCTCTCATTTTCTGCCTAATGTAATCATGCTTAGTCTTATCATGCCCGGTTTTAAGTACAGGTGCTCTCCGAGTCTCAGAATCCCCTTTTCTGCTTTGACAACACCCGTGACCTCATCCTGATGCATTGCCGAAATTAAAGACCACAGCTTTTTGCTGATGCCCTCCGGTACAGGCTGGGCTAGGGAGCAGAGGGACTGGACCCTACTTCTACCTGGTTTAGCCTGGTTTAGCCTGGTTTAGCCTGGGCATCTTTCTGTGAAAGCCGGCACCTGGCCACATGCCTCCACAGCGACTTTCGCTTAAGCAATGCCCCACAGTCTATACAGTGCAAAAACTCACTGGATTTAACTGGGGACTTTGGCTGTTTAGCTGGGACTAAAGTTCCAATGCCGGCCTTTAAAACCTCAAAATTGTGCTCACGGTTTCCACTATTCCTGATCAAATCAAACTGAAGTTTACGTGCTTTAGATTTCACAGGTAGAGCCAATGCTCTGGCTACGTCACTTTCATTTCCATGTTTTCAAGTCAAATGACGGGACATTTTGTGGCAGGACATTGAACAGTAGAGGCAGAAGTGTCTCTTGCTGTAAACTCGCCCCCCATTTTTCTTCTTTTGCAGCTGCATGATAACAATCTTATTTGCCTTTGGTTCGTCACTTTCCGAGTCTTGAAGAAAAGTGTTTTTGATTTTTCTTTTTCCATACTTTTTTACAGGTTTCTTCTTGACAGTTAAATCGTCAGAATCTGAGTCGACTTCATCAATTAGGGACTCTTGACTAAGCTGCACAAACAACAAATAATTTGTAATCATTCTATATAACAATTTGAAGTCATGACTTGTAGTCAGCACTTACCAGTGGTTTGTAAGCGTGCGCTTCAGTGTGCTCCTCCATGATTTCTTGCAGCCTAATGAACCACACACTTGCACCTTTTTCTAGCCTGACACCTGATTTCCTCTGTTGTGCTGCTCCATGATTGGCTCCAGCCTGCTGGACTGAAATTGCCCCAGTGTGCCCCTCCTTGATATCCCGCAACCCACCACCAGGGTTCCGACACATAACACACTTTTTTCAGGAAAGTAAACCTCCAGGGGTCCTTTCCATATTTTTACAGAGACTGCATAAGGACCGTTAGAAAAGCATTACCCATTGATTATTAAGCTTGGACCAGTGGGGTCCGGTGTTCGGGCCCCACCACGTAAAATCAGTCCCCATGACGTGAGTGGAATCTCAGGTTATGGAACCCACCAGGAGTTGAAAACAAGTGCACACACACACACACACACACACACACACACACACACACACACACACACACACACACACACACACACACACACACACAGTGGTTAGAGCCTTTGTATCACAGCAAGAAGGTCCTGGGTTAGATTCCACCTCCAGGCCTTTTTTACTTTCTGTGTGGAGTTTGCATGTTGTCCCTGTGCATGCATAGGTTTCCTCCAGGTGCACCTGTTTCCCCTACCACTAAAAACATGTGCAACAGGTCTGAATGTAATGAGAGAGTGAATGGATGGTGATGGTTTGGGGCTTCGATGTTCCAGTGTGTTGTAAATCTCTTTGGGGTGACCTTGGTCTGTAAAAATGCGCTATATAAATAAACGTCACTTACATTACATGAAATACCTTCACCTCGTTCCGGGAAGCTGCAGTGTGTGATGCTTCTGCTCAAATGGGACAGGAGTCGGGATGCATTAGTGCTGGTAAAGGCCTGGGATTATTAATTCAGAATGAGCTCTGGACAAGAACATCCATTAATATGTGAAAGATGGGACACTTTGAAAAGGTCAGTTTAAAGTTTTACTGAGTTTGAATCATGTCTTTTGAGTAGAAACTTACACATAACTCATCTACATTTACCAATCCTGATCTGTCATCTCCAGGTTTTTATATATCCGAATATTTGGTGTTTTGTGTTATTGTCAATCATTACCATAGCGACCCAGACGACCAGTGTGTCTATATACCACGTTAATGTTGACGATTTAGGCCTGAAGTTTATCTGTATAGCTCAATATGCTTAAATGTAAGGCACTACCCTCATGTGAAACCATGATGCAGTCAGATATCGCAGAGGCTAAACAGCGCTGGGCCTGGTTAGTGCTGTGATGGGAGACCTCTGGGCGGCTGAGGCTGTTAAGTGTTAAGTGTGGATGTGACCTTAGTCTTGTCAGGAATGAACCAAACAGAGACGGATCGTGGTGCGCCAAACTCTGGAAGTTTATTTAAGTTTCTCTCAAGTTCCAGTGGTTTCAATTGTTTCTTTCTCTCAGACAGAATAAAGGCAGTACACAGTTTATAGTCATTGTTATGTCACACATGGAAAGACATACGTGTCATTCAGAGACAGTGCACATCATAATCAAAACATGGATGCACCATCAGAAGAGTCCTTGAAGAGTCTTGCAGTTGTCCTCCGTATGTCAAATCGTTATCTAATCCTAACACACTTCACCCACAATGCCTTTGTGCGTCTGGTGTCAGAGTGACGGGTTTGCAGTATTAGTTTATCACCACTGTGTTTGCCGCGAGTGTCCAAAAAGTGACATATAAAACAATTAATTATTATTATTATGATAATTGTTGTTGTTATTGTAGAGCATTCACCCAATGCTCGCTTGAAGTTTAATGTGCCTCTGTAGCCACCGTACTTGTGATTGTTTTACTGCACATGCGCAAGTGGCAGGGTATTCATTCTATGCTATGACGCCGGATACTTGGAGCTGTACGAGTGAAGCTAATAAAGAGAACTCGGTTTATAAAGTATTCCCTCCGTGTGGTCTTTCAACATGGTGTCAGAAGTAAACACGGACACTTTTGATCGTGCAACTCGTTCCTCACGGTGCGCACGACTACTTGCCGGTCGATAAAGACAATAACCAGTTTCTAACGTTGCTACCCAGCTATTCCCGCCAACGGACATACGTGCATCATGTCGGATGGATTTCGCAGACCAGACCCCCTCGTCTTTGATGAGAACATCGCGGAGAATTGGCGAGTGTTTGAACAGGAATATGACATTTTTATCGCGGCGGCACACTCTGACAAGTCGGCCCGCACACAAGCCTACATTCTCCTCAATCTAGCAGGATCGGAGGCCATTGAAAGGGAGAGGTCGTTCGTCTACACGCCCGCGGTGAGAGGACCCGACGTCGACGACGCACCGGGACACATCATCACTCCTGCAGAGTCAAAAGAGGACCCTGAATGCTTGAAGAGGAAATTCCGGGCAATCTGCAGTCCCCGAATAAACATTATAGTGGAGAGACACAAGTTCAATGCACGGTTCCAAAACCAAGGTGAGACATTCGAATCATATGTCACAGATCTAAAGATAAAAGCAAAGAGCTGTAACTTTGGACCACTGCAAGACGAGCTCATCCGTGACAGATTGGTTTGTGGCATAAATGATGACAATCTGAGAAAAATAATGCTGCGTGACAGTGAGCTGACTCTAGCTAAAGCAATCTCTGTGTGTCAAATTTATGAGCAAACAGAACAACACACCAGGGTATTGTCTACACCGCATACTCCCACTAGTGTTGACAGTCTGCAGTACAAATGTGGCAGGAAGCAGAGATTTGAGCCACGACAGAGGGCGCAGACAGGGAGAAACGGTCAGCCCATTGTCAACTGTAACAATTGTGGTGGCAGCCATGATGCCAAGAAGGAAAGTTGTCCAGCTTTTGGTCAACAATGCCACGCATGCAAAAAATGGAACCACTACAAGAAATGCTGCAGGTCAGTGCAGAGATACCCTAGGATGCAGGGCTCCAGGGAGTCCGTCCACCACCTCGAACTGAACCAAGCCACGGGCAGCACTGCTGAAGATGACTCATTCTGTATTGATGGGATAGCACCAGTCGTCGTACACACAATATGCTCAAATGTGCAAGAAAAGAATGTAGCGTTCGCCACCATGCACATCAACGGCAAAGCTGTCGAGATGAAAGTCGACACGGGTGGACAGTGCAACGTTCTATCATATGATGCTTTCAAACATGTGGAGAGCGGAGAACAGATTGACCGCTCGATAATCACCAACCTTGTCGCATATGGGGGAAACATGATCAGCACCTTGGGCTCAGTCGTCTTACAATGTCAGCTTGCAGGTCAGCAGTATACACTACAGTTCCACATTGTGGAGAGGAATGTCCAGCCACTACTAGGCCTACCAGCAAGCCTGCACATGAATCTAGTGAAACTGAGCAAGGATGTTCACCAACTCAGTGTGAACACAGAGGCCAACCTGCCGCACAAGATCTTCACAGAGTATGCAGATCTATTTAAGGATGAACTTGGCAAGCTACCAGTGACATATTCTATGAAAATAGACCCTGACGTGCAGCCCGTTGTCCGCCCAGCACGCCGCATCCCTGTAGCCATGCAGGACAGAGTGAAAGCGGAGCTAGAGAGAATGGCAGACCTGGGTGTCATCGTTCCCGTGTCAGAGCCAACTGAATGGGTGTCATCCATGGTAGCAACAAACAAGAAGCAAGCAAAGGATATAAGGATCTGCATTGACCCCAGAGATTTAAACACAGCCTTAAAGCGCCCCCACCATCCGATGCGCACGGTCGAAGAGGTTGCTTCACAGATGGCCAACGCGACGCTATTCTCAGTATTGGATGCCAAAAGCTCGTTTTGGCAGATCTCCCTAGACAGTAAGTCTTCACTGTTGACCACATTTAGCACACCCTTTGGACGCTACAGGTTCCTCAGAATGCCGTTCGGAATAAACTCAGCCAGTGAAGTATTCCAGCGCACAATGGAACAGATATTCGCAGGGTACCCCTGTGCTATCATTGTCGACGACATAATTGTCGGAGGCCGCACGGAAGCGGAGCACGACGCTAACTTAAAGAGAGTGCTTGACCGTGCGCGCAAAGTCAATCTGAGACTCAACCCCCTGAAATGCAAGTTCCGGCTGACGGAGGTCACCTATGTCGGTCATGTGTTCACCAGTGAAGGCCTGAAAGCGGATCCCGATAAGACCACTGCGATTACTGAAATGCCTGTTCCCGGAGATGTGACAGCTCTACAACGATTTCTAGGCATGGTGAACTACCTGGGGAAGTTCGTACCAAACTTGAGTGAGTTAACTGCCCCTCTCAATCAGCTGACACGCAAAGACACAGCGTGGTGCTGGCTGAAGCAACACCAAGATGCATATGACACATTGAGGAGGTGCATCTCCAGTCCGCCCGTCTTGTCATACTACAATGTTGACCAACCTGTCACACTCACGTGTGACGCTTCCCAACACGGACTGGGAGCAGCGTGTTTACAAGGGGGCAGACCAATAGCCTACGCATCTAGGACAATGACTGAGACCGAGACACGCTATGCCCAAATCGAGAAAGAGCTCCTGGCGGTTGTGTTTGCGTGTTCGCGTTTCAATGACTACATCTACGGGAAGCCCGTCACCATAGAGACAGACCATCAACCGCTGGTCACCATCATCAGAAAGCCCATCTACACAGCGCCTGCACGACTGCAACGCATGATGCTGCAGCTACAGAAGTATAACATTGACCTGGTCTACAAAAAAGGTAAACATATGTACCTGGCCGATACCCTGTCACGCGCACCCAGAGCGTCCACACTACAACATGTAAACGAGCTGAACGACTTTGAGGTCATGTCAGTCAGCCGAGTCTCATCCAGCCGTTTAGACGAACTAAAGAGGCACACAGCAGAAGACGGACTACTGCAAATCCTCTCTTCTGTCATCACACATGGATGGCCCGTCAAACAGCATAATGTTCCACCATCCATCAGTCTTTTTTTTTCCATTCAGAGATGAGCTCACCATCGAGGAGGGTGTCGTCATGAAAGGTCACATACTTGTCGTTCCCCAGTCACTGCAAAAAGCGTACACTAGCATCGTGCACAGAGGACATCCAGGAGCGGAGTCCACCAAACGCAGAGCCCGGGACATAGTGTTCTGGCCCACCATGAGCAGTGACATTGACAGAGCGGTACTCTCATGCTCTGTTTGTAACAGTCAGAAGCCCCATCAGCAGAGAGAACCACTACAGTCACACCCAGTTCCGGACCTACCATGGTCTACAGTAGCAACTGACATTTTCGAATGGGATGGCAAGCATTTTCAGGTGCTTGTAGACTCGTACTCGGGCTGGTATGAGATCGACCTTCTCAAGGACATCACCTCAGCAACAGTCCTCACAAAGTTGAAAAGACACTTCTCTGTGCATGGCTGCCCACATCTCCTCATCTCGGACAATGCCAGACAATACACCAGCCAGAAGTTCAAAGATTTTGCTACACAGTGGGATTTCAAGCATATAACCAGCAGTCCTGAATTCCCACAGTGCAACGGTTTGGCTGAAAGAGCAGTGCAAAGTGCCAAGCAACTGATGGAGAAATCAAAACGGGATGGTACTGATGTGTTCCTCAACCTCTTGAACATGAGGAACATCCCTCGCGATGCACAGCTGGGCTCACCTGCACAGAGACTAATGTCAAGGCAGACCCGTACCACCCTCCCAGTCAGCAGACAGCTATTGCAACCAGCATCCCTCAACACCAAACAAGTCACAGCCCAGCTCCAGAAGAAGAGGCTCTCCCAGAAGCTGAGCTATGAAAGTCCAGCCGTCCTCTTCGTCCACTGCTGGAAGGCGAAGCGGTCCGGATGCAGACCCCCCGGGGTTATGATCGCATGGGCACAGTAGGAAAGATCTGTGAAGAGCCGCGGTCTTACATCATCCAGTCTGGAGGCAGAGACTACAGGAGAAACCGCAGACACCTCCTGCCCGTCGCCGAGCGATCTCCACATCAACCTGACACTGTCGACCTGCAGCCCTTCAACCCAGCTGCCGGTGAAACACCTCCCATCTACAGGGAGGAACAATGGGATCCCATGGACACTGTACCACCGCTGGTCCAGGTACCCGTAGCTAACTCTCCCGTCCACGCTGGCAAGAGCCCATACACAACACGTTTTGGTCGTACAGTCAGAGCAAACCCCAAATACAAAGACTGATTATTGGGTTGTGAACGGACTTGATGGACCATGTATATTTGGTACTACACATTGCAGTTAAAAAAAAAAAAAAAAAAAAAAAAAAGATGTCAAGCCTTTCTTTGATACATTCGTTATTATGTCCACGTTTCAGTCAGCCTAAACATTGAAGTTTTGATGTTCAAATCGAGTATGGTTATTTGTTGTTGATGGTACTGGAAGCTAAAGAAAGGGGATGTAGAGCATTCACCCAATGCTCGCTTGAAGTTTAATGTGCCTCTGTAGCCACCGTACTTGTGATTGTTTTACTGCACATGCGCAAGTGGCAGGGTATTCATTCTATGCTATGACGCCGGATACTTGGAGCTGTACAAGTGAAGCTAATAAAGAGAACTCGGTTTATAAAGTATTCCCTCCGTGTGGTCTTTCAACAGTTATTATAGGGGTGGCAGTGTTTTCCAACCTGGGGTCCCCAGGGGGTATTTGAAGTCATTTTGAAAACTAGTAAGAGGTTAATATGGGCAAGTGTTACGGAAACGTACTAGACCAATCAGAAAGGAAGGAGGAGGAGCTTGCGTCGTTTTTTTTCAAATCAAGCACCTCTCTCTCTCTTTCTGACAAACTCCAGACAATCACTTTAATGTCCTCATCATCAGAAAGGTCCTCCGTAACTAGGTAAGTACAGTGTTTGACAGATAAAAAACAGGAACATTCATATTTCTGTCCTCCTTTGTCCTCCAAATCATGACCATCCTACTCTTACTACTGCTGCTGTCTGTGTTAAAATGTATTTTCGAGTAAATCCAAACTCTGTTGACTTCAGTGAATCCAAAACAAACTTTCATCTTTCAAAACAGCAGAATGTATCTTTGAGAAAGATTTACCATATTCCTTCATTCATTCAATACTTTATTTCGGACACAAGAATAAAAGGTCCATACAAGCAAAACAATTGTATTATAGAGATACAATAAATGTCTCCCTTGAAATGAGAAAATAAAGCAACAATTCTCCCAAGCTTTGTTTGGAATGAACTCAAATTAAGCTAAAAAAAAAAAAAAACACTCGATTGAATCATTTATTACCTCACATGTAATCATTTTTTGCAGTGCAGTACTGGTCATGCACCTCTCCAGTCTTGTGCCTTGTTTGAGAGTGAGTTTATCAATCAGGAGTATTTACCGAGTCGACTTTACCCCCTGCGCCTTTACAACCGCCCCCCGTAGCGCCCATGTCCCGGGACGCTCCTCTCCACTCTCTCTGCTGCGGAGTCATTGCGGGTGTGAGCTCAGTGCGTCTTGCGGGTCATCCCTCTTAGTTTACAGAATGACTGATACACACACAGAGAACGACAAGCCTAGCGGGTGGGAGACGGGGGAAAAAGAATCCAAACTCTCTCCTGGGTTCACACGCCGAGGAGGAGGAGGAGCCGGGGGTGTCACACGGCCCTCTCCCACGGGTGCCAGCGCCCAATCTCGCCCACCCTGTGATTAAAGAATGATTTATAGAGGCCTGTAGAGCAGCAATCCGTCTGCTGGATGAGATTTTTGGTTGGGAAGAGGGCAGGTAAATCAAACGGCGAGGGGGGGAGAGAGAAGGCGGCGATAGGACCAGTGATTAAATGTTATAATCATCTTCGCTCAGTGTAAAGCTTGTGCGCCACAGGAGATACGGCAAAGGGAAGGCGCGCTGGCAATTTATGTGGCATCTATAGCGCGCGTCTTGTTCAGCTTTTTCTTGCAGAAAGAGAGTGATGAACGGAACAGAAAAGCCACAGCAAGCACTTATCTCTAAATACACATACCGCCAGGCAGATTTATCAAACGACTCATTCTGTACACAAGTTTCCACGCCGTGTTTTATGGGGTCAGGCCGGTTCTGCGTAGATGCCGCCTTCAGTGCAGATGCCGACTTTGGAGCGTCCTTTCCAACAGTGTGGAGCCGTGTAACTTTTCTGATGGATGGGCCCACAACAGTCTGGAAGAGTTATTGATCTCTTTGTTGATTATCAGCTCATAACCTAAGTCTGCTCGGGCTCACAGTGAAGAAATGTTGTGCATTTATGTTGTTTGTTCAAATGGTAATGAGACTCATGCGCCCAATTTGTTGGTAAAACTTTGGATTTTTAAGTACATTTTGATTCAGACTCGGACTCGGACAGGACTCGGACTCGGACTAGGACTCGGACTGGACCCAAACCCAGACCCAAACCCGTAGACACAGACTCAGATTCATAATGACATTTTTTTGTATATCTAGTTAAAGCAGAAGTGCACCATTTTTGTGTGTTAATATAAGTCTTAAATAGTAATATTTTCCAATAGCGATCACTTATATAGAGTGTTTGGACCAAAACATATATCTCTCAGTAACTCTAATGTGCTCTGAAGTCGAGGACAAAACTTTTCTTGTATCCTACAGTTTTTATCCAATCAGGAGAGAGAACGGCATAAAGGGCTGTTCCGCGCACACACGGATAGAAGTGGCGGGCTTTGATGCTAACAGGGTTAAGCTAGCGCCTTTTTGTGTAAAGTTCTTCTCCAAGAATGCAGCTCTGCAGCATCTATGTGTCTGAAACCTTCCAGAGACTTTTTATAACTGCAGTATGTGTTCACGGAGCTGCGCCGTAAGTTAGCAACACGTTAGCCGCTGGAGGCATATGTTCACAAGCACCGTGTCCCCCATTGTCAGTTCTGTACTTGCTGGTGTGCTCGGAGCAATGACAAAATGCTTTCCCCCTGTAACTCCTTATGCTACCACCAGAGGGAGAATTTTTCCTTTTTTTTTTAACCCAAACACAGACCTGTGATTGTAAAGAACCGCTGCATTTGAGAAATTGAAAAAAAAAGGTTTTCATGAGCAATAATTTTGTTAGTAAAGTTCTCTGGGTGTGATGTCATAGTGGTACAATGACAGCACTCTTTACAGGACTGAGACAGAAGGGGCGGAGCTACATGTTTGCGGCAGAAGTTTCCTTATATTAGCGTGGATGGTCCATTTACACATGTTCCCTTTAATGCCACGATGCAATAATATCCCCAGAGATACAGACCAAAGTGTTGTGAGGGAGGAATCCAAATCTGAAAGCTTGAACACAATTTATTTAAAGGTGTAATGTATAAAACATTTGTGGTGGAAGATTCACCACCTGCTTATCGCCGTGGGAGACCAGGCCATGTGCAGATGTTGGGGAAGAATGGAGCAAATTTTGAGCAATAAAAATATAGATAGATACTTCATTGATCCTTTGTGTGAGCGATACACATGTCCAGCAGCAGAAACACACCCATACAAAAAAAAAAACACATCAAAAGTTACCAACAATAGTAATAAATAGTAATAGAAACAAATGTAAGAAAGGAATACTTGTGAGCAGCCTAAGACACTTTTGAAAGACGATGATGACATCCTCTGTGTTGTGACTGATCCGTGGATCTATGAGGCCTCTGTCCTCTCAGCAGTTTCAGATCTTGGGTTAAAAAAGATTAGAATACAAAACTTTGTGTAATCCGTCTTCAGACTGTGTGCACGGCTGCTGCCCTCCTCTGGGACCAGTGTTTGTGAACGTGTCTCACATGGATTATATATCTGCAGTTTTATGGAGAGAGATGGTGATGGTGTGTGTGTCTGTGTGTGTGTGTGTGTGTGTCTGTGTGTGTGTGTGTGTCTGTCTGTGTATGTGAATATGTGTGTAACAGAGAGAGTCAGGTTGCATAAGGACATACTGTGCCCATTGTTCCTGTAAATCCACATGGTTCACTGGTTAGATCCACTGCTCCTTCTTCCTAATTAGAAATGAGTAAATTGTACCAAACTTTAGGAAGAGTTCTGTCATAAGATCTACTTCAGCATTCTCGTCCGTAGTTTGTTTTTCATGTAAAAATATGATTTGTATTCTAAAGAGATGTCTTCCAAAATAAGTCAAAAATGGGAAATAAAAAACACACACCTCAGACTTGCTTCAAAATCCCAGAGCGTAGTTTTAGCTAAACACTGAAATAAAAAAGATTGATGTGACTAAATATAGAGTAGGCCAGAATCCCATCCTCTTTTGAACGTACTTTAAAAACTGAGCATTCTCCACAAACCTGACTCGTACTGGTCCTGATGGACGGCCTCCTGCTGAGAGTTTCCAAAGAAATGTTTTTCATCTTTGAAGTATGAAGCAGACTGTTCATAATGTTATTATTACTTTACTATGAAGACATCAGAGTCAAAGACCTGATGAAGACAGACACACGTCCAGAGCAGTAAACCCTGTGTCTACCTCCACCTGCTGGTCGTCTTAAGAACTACAACCACACGTTTCACTTTTCCTCAACGCGAAACCGAAAGCGTCTGTTGTTATTCTTCACTTCCTCAAACACGATGCCAAACTCCAGAAACAAAGTAGAAGATTCTAGTGTTAAAGGAAAAGCAGGTGAGTGTAAAGTTTCTCACATGTGACCTCAGAAAAGTCTATTTCCCACTGGAATCTGTCTCTCCGTGGGCTCGCACCGAAGGACATCTGAGATAATGTTAGAGCCAAATGAACCAACTCGGACTCTGAGGAGCACAGGGACTGGCCTCCTGCTGGGACTCTGAGGAGCACAGGGACTGGCCTCCTGCTGGGACTCTGAGGACCACAGGAACTGGCCTCCTGCTGGGACTCTGAGGACCACAGGGACTGGCCTCCTGCTGGGACTCTGAGGAGCACAGGGACTGGCCTCCTGCTGGGACTCTGAGGAGCACAGGGACTGGCCTCCTGTTGGGACTCTGAGGAGCACAGGGACTGGCCTCCTGCTGGGACTCTGAGGAGCACAGGGACTGGCCTCCTGCTGGGACTCTGAGGAGCACAGGGACTGGGCTCCTGCTGGTGCCTAGAGCCATAACTAAACATTTCAGATTTATCCCTCTACAATCTTCCTGAAAATGTTCAAATCCAGGTTAAAACAGTTGCGTTTAGCTGTGACTACAACTGAAGGATTGTATTTTCACTCTTTTTAATGTACTGTGATTATTTATGATCTTATTTTAAAGCCTTGTCTAATTGTTTCACTTTGAGCTGCGTTGTGTATGAATCCGTGCTTCACAAATAAACTTGCCTGGACTATTATTTAAATACAGTCTGTCTGTTTCAGTGAGACCAAAGCGTAAGAAGTTCTTCCCCCTCGTGGCTGGAAACACAAAGAACAGCCATGAGAGGATTCTGGGTAAACTGGAGAGCAGAGGAGCGGAGCGAGTGGACCGAGGCCGATGTCAGGTCCTGCTGCTCTTCTGTCCAATCGTCTCTCGCTTTGAGGCGGACATCGCATCCGCTTTGAATCGAGTAAAAGCAGACGGTAAGGAACTAACCTCTGACCTTTCCACTGATATTTGCTTTTACATATCAAAATAATAAAAATAATAATGCATTGATTTTATATAGTTATTTTTTGGGACGCTCAAAGATGCTTCACATGTCAAAATGCATTCACTCCATACTAATGTAGCCACAGCTGGCCTGGGGCACACTGACAGAAGCGAGGCAACCAGTATGTGCCATTGCCCTTCTCACCTTCACAAACCATTAACACACACCAGACTAATTCTAATGTGGGTGAAGTGTCTTGCCTAAGGACACAACCACAGTTTTGCACTTTACAGCCCCAGCCGCCCCTCTGTGGCACCTGGTGTTCCGAGAGGTCTCCCATCACAGAACTAACCAGGTCCTGCCCTGCTTAGCTTCAGAGGTGGCTTTCACATGCAGGTATGGTTGGGCCTGGTTATTGTGAGGATGGGAGACCCGCAGAATAGGCCGATAGTTTACCAGCAGCACAACATCACTACGGACTCAGACTGTAGAACGAGGACTGAGACCAGGTGGAGCAGGTCTGAGGAGGCTCCCGGGGGTAGGGGTGGAGGGAGGCGGGTGCAGCCCTTGAGTCCAGGCCGGGGGGAGACCAGTCCACGGATGCAAATGAGAGAGTCTGTCCCTTCACCACCAGGAATAGTTTTTTTTTTCAATTCAAATCCTTTTCGTATAGCCTTAAACACATCAGCAGCCGTCTTCGAGCACTTGTAACATTGTCAATTTGCCAAAAACAGATCAGAGAATCAGAAAATTGGAACACAGGAAGTACAGTAATAAAAAACACACAGGAGACAAGTCAGAAATCAATCTCAATGTCTCTTTACTTTATGGACAATATTTGCAAATGTTATTTTCAGACTGATACTGATGTTAGATGTTTTGCAGAGAGCCCTAAAGTCATCCTGGTGGCGATGCATCACACGTTCAGCCCCGACCACGTGGTGCCGCCCAAAACCCAGCACCGACACGAGGGAGTGGACGTCCCGCTGGTGCACTGTCTGTTCCACGAGACCATGGGGCTCCTGAGGTGTCCACGCAACAAGAACGCAGTCACCACGCTCCGCCAGCAGGTCAGTGAAAGACTGTTAGCATCAGTCCATCTCACTTTTTTATTAACACGCCGGTTTTAGTCACTGTAAAATGGGTTCGACTGTTTAAAGTTCATTGTGGTCAAATTTGTTTTACTTTTGACGGAGCTGAAAGGTTCATTCTGCCGTAATAAAGTAATCAATTAGGAAACTCTGAACTCAGAAAAAAAAGCAGTGCCATTCAATAAAATCACAGCCTCCCGACTTCAGCAGTGAACTCCAGAACAAACATGGTTTAAAGACACCATTTTGGGGATTTGTGTCATTTGTGATCATGGTCTGACACTGATCTGTGAGATGGGTTTATTTGTATAGCACATAAACCCATAATGCCGAGCTCTAGAACTGCCTGCAGCCTGCTGTAATTAAATGTAGGCGGGGCTAAATGTAGGCGGAGCTAAATGTCAGCAGAAGACAGGCTAACAAAACGCTGTAAATAAAACACTGGAGTTTTCTTTTCAGAATTTGTCTCTGAATATTTTGAAATCTGAGACACTTTGAAACGGACTCTTCTCTCGTTGCAGATGGGGCTAAAAGAACACTGCAACCCCTTCTTTTGTACGAGCTTCAACTGAGTCTGGTTTGAGTGCTTGGATGCTCCTGGGAGCTACAGTATGTTGTCTGGGGCTTCAAGCCCCTGATAGGGCCTCCCACGGCAAACAGGTCTTGGGTGACGAGTCAGACAAAGCGCAGTCCTTAGCCCACGGGGCCCGGCCGGGCTCAGCCTGAAGGGACAACGTGGGCCAGCCCTCTGTGGGCCCACCACCCGCAGAGGGCATTGCTTATTGAAAGTTTATTGAAAAGCTTTTTCGGGATCAGCTTCATTTCCAGGAGTATATTTACATTGAAAGGACGCAGGTGTCTCCACAGGACGCACTGCAGACTTCACCAGGTCTCTCATCATTTGTTTTTGCAGTTTTAAGGATAAACAACGAGTGTTACATGTTGCATGGTCTCTGAAGGACATTTGGATTAAGGATCAACAGATATATTTTGGATTACACCACCAAAGTTTTCAAGGAGTGCGCAAAATAAAGGAGCACAAGGAAACGCTCAAAGTCCTCCCACTGCTGCTTCACGGCAACAGCATCTGTCAATCACACTCAGCTGCAGCACCATCTTTCTCTTATTTCAAGAAAGATCAAACACCTGCAAAAATATCTTTGTTCTTTACAACTCAGAATAAGATTTCTACTATGTTTAACTTGTACTGTTTCCTCTGTATTTATTATTGGTACTGCCCTTTATGTACTTTAGTTGTTTAATTATAGGATATCTGTGTTTTTAGGTGTGACCATGGTTTTAATGTGACTTGAGAATTCTGCTCTGATTTTCTTCCACTGAGTCCTGATTTCACTTCACTGGCTGCAGTTCCCTTCACTGCTCACTAGAGGGCGTCTGAAGATGGCGTTTGATTCAAGCATTCACGCAATCATATGGATCTATAGTATATGCTCCTAAATAAATGAGATGTATAATATATACGTAGGTTTGTAGATGTTCTCACAGTTCCCCAGTTTGTTTTCCCATGTCAAAACCATGAGGAATAGAATCACCCCTAAAAACCTAAGTGGAACTATTTTGGTAACTCTTGTCCCCACAATATTGAAACTACTAGAACTCCCAGAGCCAACATTTTGACTGCCATCGTCCAAACCAATGGGAATCTGAGAAACTGCCCTGAGATTATGTATTTTTTCTGTTGTGCATTGAAAGTAAGTAATTTATATGTTTTTTTTTACTGGTGAATATATCTTAAAATACAGCAAAAAGCAGTTTGTTGAAAGGCTAATGCTAACTGATAGCAAGTAAACATTATGTTGCTATGGTAACTAGTGAAAATGATACTGGCTCTATACTGGGAGGTAAATGTTGAACTCATTTCCAAACACAAAGAAATAGAAAAAAGTCACTTACACTTACACAACTAAAGGCCGTCAACTTGACTGCCCTGGGAACAAGAATTCATGTATTTTAATCTAACAAGCAAAGTTACCCTGAGATTTCTGAATCCGTCATCACCGTGTGAGAGAATGGAACAATATCTGAACTCTGAGCATTATAAAGTGCTTACTACTCTTGTTAATGGGGGATGGGGGCAGGGGAAAGGAGGCAGGGGTCTTCATGGTCATGGGAGCAGCCAATAACATGGCGAAAGTGAAACCATGTGTTCAGTGTTCCTTGTACAGTCTGATTGCAATGGGAGGAAATGGGCTATACTGTATGTGATTTTTTATATAAGATTAAATTAGTTCATGAACAATAATGGACATTTTTAGGAGCTGTTATGCACTGGAGATAAAATTGTCTAATAAAAAAAAAAGCAGATGTCTTCGACTGCATGCGTAATTCTCACTGTCAGACTGTACCATGAACAACGCACATGTCATGCATCTGCGCAATAATGTGCAATAATCAAACATACAAACTTGAAAACACCATATTATTCCTGACAATAGAAAGAATACGTGACAGAACATCCTCTTAATGTTTACAAGCCAGAATCTCCAAATCAAAAATTGCAACAACATTTTTTAAAATTGTAATTTATTTTCAATCAGGACGGTCTGAGATTGTCAAAACCACCAATCAGGCTTCTTCTTCTGGTCAGAGAGAGAGAGAGAGGGGGTAAGAAATAGAGAGAGACCAGATGGAGACCAGAGAGAGAAGAGAAGGAGTGAGGTCAGAAAGAGAGAGAGACCAGAGAGAGGTCAGAGTCAGAGCGAGAAATAGAGAGGTCAGAAAGAGAGAGAGAAGAGAGGTCAGAGAGAGAGTGAGAAAGAGAGAGAGAGGTCAGAAAGAGAGACCAGAGGGAGAGAGACCAGAAAGAGAGAGTGAGAAAGAGAGAGAGACTAGAGAGAGAGAGGGAGACTATAGAGAGAGAAGAGTTGGAGTGAGGTCAGAGAGAGAGAGAGACCAGAGAGAGGTCAGAGTGAGAGCGAGAGAAGAGAGGTCAGAGAGAGAGAGAGAAGAGAGGTCAGAGAGAGAGAGAGAAAGAGAGAGAGAAGAGAGAGAGTGAAGTCAGAGAGAGCGAGAGAGAAAATTCAGAGAGTTAGAGTGTGAGAGAGAGAGGTCAGAGAGAAAGAGGCAGAGAGACCAGAGAAAGATGGATCATGAAGCGTGTGTAAGTAATGTTTATTTATATACCGCCTTTCACAGACAAGGGTCACAAAGCAGTTTACAATTGTTATTTTTTTTTTGGGCAATTGTCCTCTCACTCCACACAGAGATGGGAGCGGGGTCGCCGAACAGGAGGCGCATGCCAGACCTATTGTACATATTTTTAGTGGTAGGGGAAACCTACGCAGACACGGGGAGAACATGCAAACTCCACTCAGAAAGGTCCTGGTCCGACCGGGCTTCGAACCCAGGACCTTCTTGCTGAGAGGCGAGAGTGCTATCCACTCAGCCACCGTGCCGCCTCGTTTGTGTGTCTTTTGTCTGTCGTGGACAAAGCTCAGTGAAACCTCCCGTCCACGTGTGACACTTGCGCTCCTCGTCATGCACTGCCCCCGACCCAAACTACAGACCGAAGTGAGTCCTCCAGACAGGAAATGATGTCAGCTCTTGTCTCCAAGGAGATGGAGGCAGTTGCTAAGATACTGTGACACTATGAATTTCTCTCTATTTTCTTGTTGCTCTGTGTCTGTCTATAGCACACCGGAGTGTCACCACCAATAACCAGAGACGCTCCATACTCTGCACAGATGGTCGCGTGGCCGGCCAACTCCCCTCACATTCAGAGTCTAAAAATAGTAGTAGTAGTAGTAAGTAATCTTTATTTATATACCGCCTTTTCACTGCAGATCTGAGTCTCAAAGCGGTTTAAAATTGTTAATTATGGGCATTTGTCTCTCACTCCACACAGAGATGGGAGCGGGGTCGCCAGTACAGGAGGCACATGCCAGAACTATTGGACATATTTTTAGTGGTAGGGGTAACCGGAGTACCCGGAGGAAACCTACGCAGACACGGGGAGAACATGCAAACTCCACTCAGAAAGGCCCTGGTCCGACCGGGATTCGAACCCAGGACCTTCTTGCTGAGAGGCGAGAGTGCTATCCACTCAGCCACCGTGCCGCCCAGCATATAATATAATCAGCAAATAATGAAATAACGCTTTTTCATGTCCCTATTGCTTTGTTTGAGTCCCTATTGCTTTTGTTTAGTCCCTATTGCTTTTGTTTAAGTCCCTATTGCTTTTGTTTAGGCCCTATTGCTTTGTTTAGTCCCTATTGCTTTTGTTCAAGTCCCTATTGCTTTTGTTTAAGTCCCTATTGCTTTTGTTTAGTCCCTATTGCTTTTGTTTAAGTCCCTATTGCTTTGTTTAAGTCCCTATTGCTTTTGTTTAGTCCCTATTGCTTTTGTTTAAGTCCCTATTGCTTTGTTTAGTCCCTATTGCTTTGTTTAGTCCCTATTGCTTTGTTTAAGTCCCTATTGCTTTGTTTAAGTCCCTATTGCTTTGTTTAAGTCCCTATTGTTTTGTTTAAGTCCCTATTGTTTTGTTTAAGTCCCTATTGTTTTGTTTAAGTCCCTATTGCTTTGTTTAGTCCCTATTGTTTTGTTTAAGTCCCTATTGCTTTGTTTAGTCCCTATTGCTTTGTTTAGTCCCTATTGCTTTGTTTAAGTCCCTATTGCTTTGTTTAAGTCCCTATTGCGTTGTTTAAGTCCCTATTGTTTTGTTTAAGTCCCTATTGCTTTGTTTAAGTCCCTATTGCTTTGTTTAAGTCCCTATTGCTTTGTTTAGTCCCTATTGCTTTGTTTAAGTCCCTATTGCTTTGTTTAAGTCCCTATTGCTTTGTTTATGTCCCTATTGCTTTGTTTAGTCCCTATTGCTTTGTTTAAGTTCCTATTGCTTTGTTTAAGTCCCTATTGTTTTGTTTAAGTCCCTATTGCTTTGTTTAAGTCCCTATTGCTTTGTTTAATCCCTATTGCTTTGTTTATGTCCCTATTGTTTTGTTTAATCCCTATTGCTTTGTTTAAGTCCCTATTGCTTTTGTTTAATCCCTATTGCTTTTGTTTAAGTCCCTATTGCTTTGTTTAAGTCCCTATTGCTTTGTTTATGTCCCTATTGCTTTGTTTAGCACTCTCGCTTCTCAGCAAGACAATCCAGGGTTCGAATCCCGGTCGGAACAGGGCCTTTCTGGGTAGAGTTTGCATGTTCTTCTCGTGTCTGCTCCGGTTTCCTCCAGGTGCTCCGGTTTCCCCTACCACTAAAAACATGCACAATAGGTCTGAATGTAGTGAGAGAGTGAATGGATGGTGTTAGTTGGGGCTTTGATGCTCCGGTGTGTTCGGCGTCTCGCTTCTGTCCTCACCGTGAAGACGAGACGCCGCACTGGAGCATCAAAGCCTCATCACCATCTCCAACTCGTTACATTCAGACCTATTGTGCATGTTTTTAGTGGTGGGGGAAACCGTAGCACCTGGAGGAAAACTACGCAGAAACAGGGAGAACATGCAAACTCCACTCAGAAAGGCCCTGTTCCGACCGGGATTCGAACCTTCTTGCAAGAGTTCTAACCACTCAGCCACCTGCGACGTTGTTATTCTGTTAGTTTTATAATTACAGGTTTTGAAATGCAGATCTAGATTGATTGATTTGAATAATGTATAAAACATGTTTGAAAGTACTCGAGTATTTGATCTAAGTAAGAGTAGAATAGAAGTAGATAACACCAGTAGATAACACCAGGGCCTGTACTATTGATTGTTAAGATCACTTTCAGCGATTTAGTGCTTCAATGAATGTGTTGCTCGAGGGTTTAAACTCAGAGAGAAAGTGAATGAGCCGCAGTTTATCTGATCACACTCAAATCAACACAATTCACACACACCAGGTACGCACGCTGAGGAGCACAGGGACTGGCCTCCTGCTGGGACTCTGAGGAGCACAGGGACTGGCCTCCTGCTGGGACTCTGAGGAGCACAGGGACTGGCCTCCTCAGATTCAGATTCAGATTCATTTATTTGCCATTTGCAGTAAAACCACATAGGAAAAACTGTGCAAGACTACCCCGGTGTGCACCAGACAGAGAAGACGACACACACCAGAGCTCTTGCTCTTGCTCCTATTGGGACTCTGAGGAGCACAGGGACTGGCCTCCTGTTGGGACTCTGAGGAGCACAGGGACTGGCCTCCTGTTGGGACTCTGAGGAGCACAGGGACTGGCCTCCTGTTGGGACTCTGAGGAGCACAGGGACTGGCCTCCTGTTGGGACTCTGAGGAGCACAGGGACTGGCCTCCTGCTGGCACTCTGACACTTCAAAAGAATTGACCTGTACATAAGAGCAAACTTTGATCAACCGATGAACTTGAAAATGTTGTCAATTTTCTGTCATTCCTCACAAGCATCTCAAGCTGTGGAGGCCCTTTGTCCCTGGTTTTGGAGGCCCTATGTTCTTGGTTTTCGAGGTCCTATATCTCTGGTGGTGGAGGTCCTGTGTCCCAGGTTGAAGAAGCCCTTTTTCCCATACTCTGAAGCCCCACGTACCTGGATTTGGAGGCCCTATGTCCCTGGTTTTTGAGGCTCTATGTCTCTGGTTTTCGAGGCCCTATGTTCCTGGCTTTCAAGGCCCTATGTCCCTGGCTTTCAAGGCCCTATGTCCCTGGCTTTCAAGGCCATATGTCTCTGGTTTATTCGAGGCCCTATGTCTTTAGTTTTCAAAGTGCTACGTCTCTGGTTTTTGAGGCCCTACGTCTCTGGTTTTCGAGGCCCTATGTCTCTGGTTTTTTCGAGGCCTAATGTCTTTAGTTTTCGAGGCCCTACGTCTCTGGTTTTGAGGCCCTACGTCTCTAGTTTTCAAAGTGCTACGTCTCTGGTTTTTGAGGCCCTATGTCCCTGGCTTTCAAGGCCCTATGTCTCTAGTTTCCACAGCCCTATGTCTCTGGTTTTCGAGGCCCTATGTCTCTGGTTTTTGAGGCCCTATGTCTCAGGTTTTCAAGGCCCTATGTCTCTAGTTTCCAAAACCCTAAGTCTCTGGTTTTCGAGGCCCTATGTCTCTGGTTTCCAAAGCCCTAAGTCTCTGGTTTACGAGGCCCTATGTCCCAGGCTTCTGTGGGAGATGGATGAGAGAGATGGATGCAGATCAGCCCTCCTCCAGTGCCTCTCCTCAGTGTGAGCCGCACCTCTCCGGCGCTATCAGCATGCCACATATGTCTTGGCACGGTCCCGTCTCTGCCAAATCCTCTCCCCCCCCGCTTCACCATGCACTGATTTTTTTTTATACCATTAGCCCTGTGCGCGTGGCTCCGTCCTCAACAATGTGCTGATGACACTAGCAGCAGAGTTTATTTGTGCATTTAGCGCTCACTCCAACGCACAAGAGCTCAAGGTTGCACACACGCACACACACACACACACACACACACACACATGAGGGGGAATATCAGGTCCAGTGTGCAATGACATGGCGAGGACAGAGAGTGGAAAGGAGAGAGAGAGAGAGAGAGAAAGAGAGGGAGAAAGAAAGAAAGAGAGAGAGAGACAGACGGGAGTATTTTAAACGGTCCATGGATGTGGAAAGGATGCTCTGAAGGCCGAGGAAAACGGACAAGACGGCGCGGAGCGAGGAGGAAGGAGCAAAAGGAGGCAAAGAAGGCATATCCTCTGCACCACTGTGTGACTGGAAATCTAATAGAGGGACAGGGAGAGATAGAGCAACTGAGGGGAGGAGAGGAGAGGAGAGGAGAGGGAGGAGAGAGGGGAAGGCAAAAAGGCACAGAGACCTCATTTCGGCGCAGGTTTCAGCACACACACACACAAAAAAAACTTTAGAAAAAAAAAAGAGAGAGAAGCTGGAGTGGTGAACAATGCTCACAACAGCATCCACACTGAAAGAGGAGAGGGGGAGAGAGAGAGGGAGGGAGAAAGAGGGAGGGAGGGGGTAATGGTGGTGTGTAAATCCAGCAGGAACTTGGCCTTTGTTTGTCCTATTGACCTTTTTCCAGCAGAGGACGAGATGGTGGTGGTTGGTCATCTTTGCCGTATGCAGGCGGCCGCTCACATGACAGAGATCGATACGAGGAGGAGAACTGGCATCTGTTTACCCGCCGGAGCCTCTTTATGGGCTAATAACGTCCTCACCTCCTTCATCAGCTGATTAAAACAGGCAGCAGGCACACAAGGGGTGACGAGAGAGAGGGCCGGTGGACGAGCCGACCTGCTCAAGGAGATTACAGGAGCGCAACCTCAAAGAAAATGCTATCCTTTGTTATTATAGAAGTGTAGATTTTGTTATTATGAAGTGATTTTAGATCAATGCATTCACAACATGCCATGAGAGCAAATGTTTGCATCGGTCACAAGTCGTTTTCCTTTTAGTTTCACCAGTTTTAGATCCAAGACAATTCTCCCATATCATCTGTAAGAAAGTAAGTAATAGGTAATCTTTACTTATACAGCGAATTTTTACAGACCAAGGCACTTGTTCAGATATCGTTCCATTCTCTCCACACCGAGAACGCACTGGAGCATCAAAGCCTCAACACCATCTCCCACTCGTTCCATTCAGACCTATTGTGCATGTTTTTAGTGGTAGGGGAAACCGGAACACCTGGAGGAAACCTACACAGACACAGGGAGAAGATGCAAGCTCCACTCAAAAAGGCCCTGTTCCAACCGGGATTCGAACCGGTTTTTTGTATAGAGTAGAGTATTTAGTAGGGCTTTGATTCATTATGGGATCTTCTGTATTTGTGGATAACCAAGACTTCAAAAGAAGGAGGGGGATTGAAGAGCTTGAGGACGTGTGTAAAATAAGAATCATAAGAATATAGACAACATGCCTGTTTTACATATTTATCCCAGTTACATAATTTCTTATAGCTGAGTGGCATGATCACCACACAGTATAATCACGTTTCAAAGGCAATTGAACGTGGCTACACCCAGAATATAATGTGACATCACTTCGAACAGAGATGTCCTATCCCAATAACACTGTCAGTGATCATGTCTTGTTATAAAATACCTTATTATTTTCAAGTTTATTATAGACAAGGTTATTTTTCTTCTGTGACATTTGCCTTCTGTTGCAGTACACGTTTTGGTTTAGTATGTATTTCCCTAATGCCTGCTTTTCGCCAACGGTCACATGTCTGCCTATAGTATTGATGCCTATAGATGAGTTTGACATATAGCTCTAAATTAAGACTGCTTGTGTTTTTGATTCTGAGTGGTTCTGTTCAATTTGTTGCCCCCATTGCCTATTTTAGTCAAGGCCATTTGATAAACCATTCTACATCTTGGTTTTGTATGTTATGGTCCTCTTAACCTTTACAAGCTCAACTATATAGGGTTGTGACAATATTATTTATATTGCACTCAATGATTCCCATCTGGATCGTGTCTGGTTTTATGATTTTGTCTTCCTTGATTTCTCTTCCTAAGCCTGTATGTTTCCCATGATCTCTGCTCTTCCAGCACCAGTCACCTGTAAAACATAAATACTGAGGGCCACTTTCTGATCACATGTGGAACTGCAGATTCTTCATCCAGAAACAGCCCCGAGGAAGAGCAGTGCTGAGTCACACAGATGCAGGGGATGGCTGTGGTTTTATAACCCCGCGGCCGATAGCATCTTGCTGTATTTGGCGTTTGTAATCGCTTTAATCATCCGCAGGTACAGCACACTCTTCATGTATCCTCTTCTCCTCTAGTGCCATTCACGGAGGGCTGTGCGTAAAGTGCGTAACGCGCCGCTTCTGCTGTACGCACAGTGCTCTGCCCAGCGGGCGCCGTCGCGTTCGCTGCCTCTTCCCAAAAGGAATGATAGACGCATGGATGCACTCACCCTGGACAGACCTTGCCGTTCATTGACTTCGGCTTTTACACCGTTTTTGTGCCATATTTTCCGCGTGTGGATGGATTGTGTTTGGTGAGGCAGCTGTCTGTGGCTGAAGCCCCCCGCGTTGCATTGGCGCTGCGGAGAACAAGAGTCAGCTCAGAGCCGCGGAGCAGAGCGCAGGCTGAAGACTGAAGAGACACACGGAGGTCGAAGGATACAGAGGCACGGCTCAGCAGCAGCATCACTCTGAGAGGTACGGGGGATACAGACAAGTGACGGGGGCGATTACTGCACGGAACTAAATGTATTCCAGAGATGGCACCGATTCAATATGTGCGGATACAGGCTCTGTGTGGGGGATACATGTTGTCATGCGGGGTCCGTGTGGGTGCAGTCATGTTGAAGACGAGACGCGGAGAATGGATGCAAGCCATTTTGTGATGCAGCATGGGCAGAATTAGGCCTATTCAGAATTTCAATTGAGAAGGTGCGCCGTAGTGAGCGCAGCTGCATAGATGAATAAGGCCATTCTGTAGAATTAGGAGATATGAGGCTGGGGGCGATGCAGGGGCATGTTAAAAGGCTCTGCACGGGACGGACGCACTTAGCCGTCACTTGTGGAGCAAATGTCATGCTATTTCCAAACGTTGGTGTATTAGCCGTGATGGCGACGAGGCTTGATTCCCACGTCCTGCATCAATCTGCCGTTGTCATAGTTACAGTGATGTGGGCCCTGCAGCTGCACCTGTGTGTCTCTGCCTAATGCACTGCTCTGATGGGCCTGAGTGTATGGCGAGGACGCACACAGCCCCACGTGCGTGTGACTTTAAAACATGACATTTGTGCCTCTTCATAAACATTCAGGCCGTGTCCGTGATACAGCAGGCGATGATGAGCGCAGTTTGTTGCATTTGTCAGCAGCTTGCAGCTAATTTGTCTTTTCACGACTGAGCGCTTTCTCGAGCCTGATCGAATAATCGATACCTACATGGCTGCAATCTGCGTTTGACATGAAAAAAGTATGAGCTGAACCTTCGAGTTAAATATAGAGAGATTCACAAGAGTATAGTTGAACAGGCAATGTGTAAGTCTGTAGAAGTCTGTATGAATGTGGGATATATTTATATACATATATATATTCTGTGATGATGGCCTATACGTGGTCAAGGCAACAGGCTCTAGATCCATGTTAAGTCTAAAGGCCTCCTGCTCCAACTGTTACTATAGTTACCCACGGCAGGCCTGAGTGAAATCATCTTATTTTGTAATGAAATCATAAAGAGTGGGGATCAACAGACATAAGCAGCGGGAATGTCTCCTTTACATAATTACATAAGGCACATCATGACTTCTGGCTGCGTTCTCGAAGCTGGCAGCTCCAATCAGAGTCATATGATTCACATTGACTGATTTTAAAATGAGCATTCCCCTTTAGTGTCACTGTTCTGTATCGTTTAGCCATGTTTCAGGAGCAAATCAATGCCATCAACACAGTGACATTGAGGACTCTCGGAGATGAGTTGTTTCCACATTGTAGCTGATTACACAAGATGGATGGTGCGTTGTTACTTTTGGAATAAGTCTTTTATGTTTGTGTGTGAGAGAGTGAGAGGAGAAGCCGGTGGGGTGTGCAGAGCATCTGAAAGTCTATTTTTAGCTGACATTCCCATATGTTTATAATAAATACAAATGTTGCCCAATCCTCAGACCTTGTCTTAGATTCATTCACTCGGCTTCTTCTTTGCACAATATGTGTTGTTATTCCTTATGAAACCTGTGAAACCATGTTGTGTTTGAGAATGAGGAGATACGTGTGTCATGTTGAATAAATCTGGGATTATCCTCATTACTGAGTTGAGAAAAACAGAAAAATAAATAATTTACATGAGGTTGAAGTGGGAATGTGAGAATATAAGTGTTTGGCCAAACACAGCAGTGTGCAATAGGGCACTGGACAGTAAAAACACAAGATGGTGAGTGAGCAGGTTGCCACAGCAACCGTGTTTCTAGGAGCGCATGCATCGTCGCTGCATAGGAGATGTTAAGGACTGGCATGAAACCTTTTGGAAAAACAGCTCCTCACCTCGTGACGAACATATGAATCTGAAGGACGTGTGATCGACACAGACGTGAATGTGACGAGAAACAAAGATGCTCGTGTGTCATGTGAATAGACAATGCTTTAAAGCGTTAAAGCCCTGTGAGCATCACGCTGAGAAAACAAGGATAATGTGATCTTATAACAACAGAAGTAGGATTTCTAAACTTAATAAAACTGATGATCGCAACATACAGATACACACAGTTTTATACACTTCAGTAAATGCATTCAAAAAGTTCATAGGGATCTTTGCTCTAACTCAAAAGTCGGTCGTTTTCTCTCAGGGTTCAGTAACTTAAGTCATGGAGGGTCGTGTTTCTACAGGTTGACTGTGCAGAATGTGCCTCACAATAAATATAACAGTCGATAATCATTCTCTCATATCTAATGGCTAAATTACTGTATGTGTGCATCATTTGTTATCTCATTTGCAACAAAGCGCTGCTGTCATGTGATGGATTGAACGGATCTCTCCATAAAACTCAGGCCCACATCCCGCTGGGAGCCGTGTTGGAATCACAGCTGAATGATGCAAACTCGAACTGCATCTATAACAATACCCATGACGTATTGTAACATGTTATATGTTGTAACTTGTGAGTTCTAAAGCCACTTCAGGCTATAATGAGGAATGGCAGATAAGTCACCAGACAAGCCTATTTTAAATGCAGCTAAAGTAATCGTGTCATCTGCTTTGGTCTTGGGGCATTGGGCTATTTTGAAATGTAAATTGTGTCTTGGGAATACTTCTAAGAGTGTGTAAGGCCAACATCTTAAAGCTGCTGCACTGTGCACTTGTTTGACCTCCTTTCTGTTTCTTTTTTCTCTTCTTCCTACAGTGATCTGCACCAGACTCTACAAAGGCTACACTGCAAACAAGAGACAACCCCTCCACACTTATCCATACCAGCAGTTCCTAAGAGATAAAATATATAAGCTTCATAGACATGGCATTTGAACCGAATAAGCCTGTTTAAAGTCTAAGAGGCATGAGTCTTGTTTTTATTGCAACGCTGCACCCCCCGGCTCCGAGGGTGGAATATGAATGTTAAGACGAGCACTTAAACTCCCCGTTTGGAGGTGACTTATCAGAATCACAGCTAAGGGGCGGGTCATGACTCAGTTGCCATGCGTGTTGTCACGGTGACCAGCCCCTGTGCCCCTTCCCCCCTCCTTTGGTTGGTCCAGCTTCTGTTGTGGTTTCACAATCATGGACCACAGCTGACAGACGCAGCTCCAGCCTGTCCCAGCCTATGTACCTGCTCCAATCAGGCGAGCCGAGTCATCTGCACCCGGAAGGGGATAGACCAAGTCCCAGAAAGTATTTCAGACAAAACAAGATACCTCAATCTACAAGAAAACACCATCCAGGTAAGAATAAGTTTACAGTAATTGAATGTCACAACTCTTACAAATCTAAATACAATGTATCTGTTCTTGTTTCTCCAGGTGATCAAATCAGACACATTTAAACATCTGAGGCATTTGGAAATCCTACAGCTCTCAAAGAACCACATCCGAGAGATTGAGGTGGGAGCTTTCAATGGCCTCCCAAACCTCAACACATTGGAGTTGTTTGACAACCGTCTCACCGTGGTACCATCATTGGCCTTTGAGTACCTTAGCAAGCTACGGGAACTATGGCTTCGAAACAACCCAATCGAGACACTGCCGGCGTTTGCCTTTCACCGTGTCCCCTCGTTACGGCGCCTTGACCTGGGAGAACTGCGGAAGCTCGGCTTCATTTCAGAGGCCGCCTTCGAGGGCCTGGTCAACTTGCGTTTTTTGAACCTGGGAATGTGTGGCTTAAAGGATATTCCAAACCTCACCCCACTAGTCAAACTAGAGGAGCTAGAGCTATCAGGAAACCAACTAGGAATTGTTCGACCCGGATCATTTCAGGGCTTGGTGTCACTTCGCAAATTGTGGCTAATGCATTCCAGGGTGTCAGTAATCGAGCGCAATGCTTTTGATGATCTAAAAAATTTGGAGGAGCTAAACCTGTCCCATAACTCCCTACATTCTCTGCCCCATGATCTCTTCACTCCGTTACACCAATTGGAAAGAGTTCATCTAAACCACAATCCCTGGGTTTGCAATTGTGATGTTCTGTGGCTCAGCTGGTGGCTCAAAGAGACGGTCCCCAGTAACACCACATGTTGTGCCCGCTGTCATGCTCCTCCAGGTCTCAAAGGAAAGTACATCGGGGAACTGGACCAGAGCCACTTCACATGCTATGCCCCAGTGATCGTCGAACCACCTACTGACCTTAATGTCACAGAGGGTATGGCTGCAGAGCTGAAATGTCGCACCGGGACCTCCATGACTTCTGTGAATTGGTTTACTCCAAACGGAACCCTGATGACGCATGGATCATACAGAGTAAGGATTTCTGTGCTACATGACGGCACTCTCAACTTCACAAACGTGACTGTGCAGGACACTGGGCAGTACACGTGTATGGTAACCAACTCTGCCGGAAACACCACAGCAAGCGCAGTTCTCAACGTGACTGCCACAGACCCCAACAACAGCTACAGCTATTTCACCACTGTCACTGTGGAAACTGTAGACTCGCATCAAGGAGAAAAGGAAGCCAGACAGGATATTAACGAGACTATCATTGAATTCCCAGGTCCGACTGTTATTGGAGGGGTGTTAGATGGTCGTTCTGGCATTACGATATCGCCCTCTCTTTCCTCTCTGTCCTCATTGAATCCTGGAGCAAGCCGGGACAATAAAGAAACCGTAACCGTGTCTATCATCGACGTGACGAATATCCCCGGTCTTGATGACGTCATGAAAACTACCAAGATCATCATCGGCTGTTTTGTGGCTATAACCTTTATGGCGGCTGTGATGTTGGTGGTGTTCTATAAACTTAGGAAGCAGCATCAGTTACATAAGCATCATGGCCCGGCGAGAGCGATTGAGATTGTCAACGTGGAGGATGAACTGGGAGCAGGGGCCGGGAGTGGGATCTCAGGTGGATCTACCATGAATTCTGGCGCCGGCGGAGAAGGAACCCTACGGATACATCGTCCCGAAATTGTCAACATTCCCAGTATTGGTCGAACGGATACCCTCAATCATTATTACAAGACCCATCACTTCAACAACAACGTGATGGGTCTCAGTATCGGTGATGGAATAGGATCCGGCGGTACCCTCAGTAGCAAGAACCCTCCGTGTCTGGACATGCCCATCTCCTGCACCTCAGTTCCTATCTCCTCCTCGAACCTCCTCACGACATCAGGAAATGGCATCAACTCCAGTTCTATGTCGCCACCTCTGCCCATGTCTCTGCCCATGCCCTCTATGGGTCTTCACGGATCAATCAAAGGTTTTATGGGCCAGAACCAGAATCCTCAAATGGAACCTCTTCTATTTAAGGGAAACTCAAAGGAGAATGTTCAAGAGACTCAGATTTAAAAACTGACTGAGGGCAAAGTGGGAGGAAAGAGTCACAGACAGAGGGAGGATTGATAGGGTTTGTGCGCTGAACGACAGGACACTAGCGCATTGACATTAACCTGAAAAGAGGAAAGACTGGAGTGGCAATACAAACTCATAGACTCTGTGACAGTGTACTGAGCCAAGGATTGGACCACAATGGGCCACTTGTGTCGTGTAATGATCATGGCCATTGAAAGAAAGAAAATCTACTATGTAAATCTGTGCCAAAGCAAATGTTTTTTGCAATTTCTAAAAGCTCATAGAAAAAAAACTAGCCTTTTAGAGGAATCAGTCTCAACATTGTGGTTGGCCAGCAGCGATGAAAGACATGCACAACACTTAACACTCTGACGGAGACAGTATTATAAAGTAAAATCAAGTGATGTTTTTCTTCACAAAACTCAAGCCACATTCAAGTGACTCAAAAGACTCCTTCAAGGTGACAATTATGTAGGCATATACAGACGGACAAAAAGGTGCAGTACAAACTACTGTGAAAAATTCACAAATTATATAAATATATTTTCATTTAAATATGTATCATTCTCCAATGCAGAGATATTTTGGGGTGGATGTATGAGCTGGTCGACTTTGTTTCTTTGTTAATAATCAGGGTGGCAATGGAGGAGGTTGGTTACGACACGTGTTTTCAGTTTGGCTACTACTCAGAAACATAAGGGCTCAATTGCAACACTCATTGTGAATCTTGAATTGGCTTTGTGACATGAAGTCCATTTAGGTTGTAGAGCAGTAATTGCAGATCTCTGTTTGACAAACTTTCGTCTGTTGCTTCAGTAATAACCATTACAAACTTTTGTGTTATGAAAATGTATTATGTATTTTGTAAAAGCCAGCTATTTGGTATTGAATTGACAATTCTGATACTGATGCCAGCGTCAATACATGATAAAACAATGTTTGACAAACATGGAGATGACCTGTCTGGGTCACACAAAGTGTTGACAGTGTGTTATTTGAATTAGCGCAGTAGCCAGATATTTGCTTTTAGAGAGGAATTTGATACAACCTCCTGCTCATGGTTACCATAAACATGCCATATACTGCTGCCATAAGAAGACTAGACGTCTCTCTGCAGCAGCATCAAGAAGGGATTAAAGTCCCATGTGGATGATTGGACAGAAATGTACAGTATATTAATAATAATAATATCTGGTTGTATGGCAATTGTAAGATCCACATTTTTACAGTGTAACTTTCATATGTTAAATGCCATTTAAGCTTCTTGCGTTTCGACTATGTACTACTTTATTTTTGTTAGTTTGATATAATGTGTACAGTTGTCTAGCCATGTATCATTACGTGTGAAATAAATCAATCATATATTGGGTCGTGGCAGGTCAATAATGGCAACCACAAACACGTGAGTAACATTTGTAAAGAGCAAGACATTTCGCAGGCTTTTGGTATTTGAGTCCTCGGTTTGTGGTCGGGTTTCGCAGCCATTAGTCATTGTGCTAATGATAAATGCCATCTGCTCAACATGTTCAGACGTTTTAGTCACTTGCTTTTTTTAAGACAGATGATGCTATACGACTCGAGTGGCCAAATTAGTATTTTTTTGCGAGAGCTTTAAGGTAATTGGCCTCAGTCCTACTACATTTATGTACTGTTATGTCACTTATATACCCTTGTTTATTGCAAACAGACAGAAGGCTAATGTTTGTTGCAATTGAGCAGACGCAGGAAAGCAGTCATTTTAAAAGTGAACCCATAATTGTAGCTGACATTGTCAATGTGGTAACCTCACACAGCTTTTGTTCCCTCCATTTTGCACCAGTCCTGGATCTTGGACTGAAACCACTGAAGAAACCACAGCGAGACACAGTAATGACCATTGTACACCAGGGAGCTCTGAGTAGATTGCACGGTTGCAGAGGTTAACGAGAGAGAGAGAAAAAATAACCCCCAAAAGATTTCATTTGTTAACCTGAACCTCCATTCTGTCACCAATAACTCACATCTGCCTGTTTTTTCAATTCCTCGCTCATTCGTCAAAAAATCACAGCCCGTAGTAGACATATTTCGTGGGCCGGGTTGGATGGTAGCCCCACTGGGACACAAATGGAATATAAATGAATGCTAATGACACAACATATGGCCGTCCCCTTGATGTGCAACATTGGGTGCCTCGGCGTCAGATTTCAAAGAGCATTGGAGATACTGTAGCTCCTTGTGTGTGTGCGCTTTTGCTGCTTGTGCGTCGTGTTAGCGTTAGACTCGTACCTGTGCTGTCGATGTAAGAGGCGGAAAATGTTCCTTTCAAGCCTCCGCGGTGTCATCGTTACTCACATGGGAGGTGGCGAATGTACGGTACAAGGAAAAAGCCATGTTCACCGCAGCGAACTTGTTAAGTAGGCTGCATATGTTGCCGTCAAATGTATTTACTCGTTTTTATTTTGTTTCCCAGCTGCGAGGATGCTAGGCTAAAGGCTGAGCTAGCGTGATGCAATGGGTAGCGTATGGGAGTCAAGCTGCGGGAGCTCGTTTTCAGCCACAACGTGTTTGACTTTGTAATAAAATCCATTTAGTTCCTGGCTCTCAAAACGGTTTGGTTCTGTCATTATAGTGTTCACATGCAGGTGTTTTTGGCCTCTGTCATATATCATTAACACACGAACTCCCAGACCAGTCGTTTTGGCGGCTCCCATTCATATGAGTGGAATTCAGAAAAAACCCCCAAAAAACAGTTTTAGTTTTACCACAAAGTTTTGTCTCAGCTAAGTAATTACAGTTTTTCTCTTTAATGCATACCAAAACAGGTCATTATAAATGAAATATAGCAAAACTAAATAACTGCTGTAAGTAAACTGTGTGTTGCTATGGTAACTAGTATGTGCTCTGAAAGAGTCTAGGACTAGTATACGGCCAGTCCAGAACCAGTCTAGGAAAAGTTTAAGACATGTCTAGGACAGGTCTAGTACAAGTCTAGGACCAGTTTAGGACATGTCTAGGACAGGTCTAGTACAAGTCTAGGACCAGTTTAGGACAGGTCAAGTACAAGTCTAGGACCAGTTTAGGACATGTCTAGGACAGGTCTAGTACAAGTCTAGGACCAGTTTAGGACAGGTCAAGTACAAGTCTAGGACCAGTTTAGGACATGTCTAGGACAGGTCAAGTACAAGTCTAGGACCAGTCTAGGACCAGTCTAGTACAAGTCTAGGACAAGTTTAGGACCAGTCTAGGACAGGTCTAGTACAAGTCTAGGACCAGTCTAGGACAGGTCTAGGACAGGTCTAGTACAAGTCTAGGACTAGTCTAGGACCAGTCTAGGACAGGTCTAGTACAAGTCTAGGACAAGTTTAGGACCAGTCTATGACCAGTCCAGGACCATTCTAGGGTCGAGATCATTTCGTAAACACAATCATAAACATAATTACAAGCAGAGAATCTACACTTCCAAAACAAAAAGCCGTCAAATTGACTGCACTGGGAGTTCTAGTGCTCAATCATCTTTTTCAGAAAAGTGAAAAGGAGAGGACCACAGCCCAAAGGAGGGGTCTTTTTCTTACAAGTGTGCATATATCATGTTCTCTAAAACGAAGATGGTGGTCTGTAGTGGTTGTGGTCTGATGTGTTCACCAAATGTCACTTTTATGCGCCATGATTAAGAAAAGTTAGGTACCTCAGCTTTAAATGATCAGTATTTGAAATGTTTATGTTAAAGTGTTTCTCGTATCAAGCCGTCACCTTTTGTCCATTTCTCAATCCATTTCTCAACAACAAGAAAAGCCGGTGTCTAAAAGGTTAAAATAAAAATGAACCTGTTTTCCCGCTTTTTGCGATTCTCGAGCTGAGCGTCCAATCAGAAAGCAGAGTTATCATCACGCAAGTCTCTCAGTTAGGTTGCCAGTTAGTTTAGTGAAATGTTGCTGGTTTGGTCACTGCCCAAACCGCGCAGCAGCAGAAGTAAAGGTCACCTGCTTTACATGCATGAGGCACTGGATACAAAGGTTGGGATGGTTAGAGACCCACATCCAGTCGAAAAGGATTATTAATGATCATTTACTGTCAAATAAAGGAGTTTTTTATATTAAGTATATTTATAACATCATCAGACCACCTTTGGGAGAGCTCAAACTTTCATAGTTCATGCAAGACAGCCCTGGAATGTACAGAAGCTGATCAGAGGAGAAAGAACTTTATTCACAGCTACCACAATAGACAGAGATGTTACCATGGAAACACAGACCTGGGGGATGGAGAGTTACAATCAGGGTCAGACGAGGAGTTTCTGTTGTCTTTAGGCAAGGCAAGTTTTTTTTGTAAAAATCACAAATTCATTGTGTTTTGATCTTATGTATTCTTATAATACATTAAACTGTTTTTTTTTTTTTTAAACCTGGATTTGAACATTGTCAGAGTAGAAGCCTGTCTCACATTTTCAGGAAGACTGTCCTCATATTTAGTCCTGACTCTGGCACCAGCTGGAGGCCAGTCCCTGTGCTTCTCAGAATCCCAGCAGGAGGCCAGTCCCTGTGCTTCTCAGAGTCCCAGCAGGAGGCCAGTCCCTGTGCTTTTCAGAGTCCCAGCAGGAGGCCAGTCCCTGTGCTTCTCAGAGTCCCAGCAGGAGGCCAGTCCCTGTGCTTCTCAGAGTCCCAGCAGGAGGCCAGTCCCTGTGCTCCTCAGGGACTGGCCTGAGGAGCACAGGGTTCATATGGCACTAACATGTCACAGATGAATTTTGATGCGAGGCCCTGGAGAGACTTGTAACAAGCAGAGCTGATTTAAAGTCTATTCTCTGAGCCACAGGAGCCAGCGCAGAGACCTGAGAACTGGACTAATGTGGTGGTACTTCCTGGTTCTAGTTATTTTAATTTGTAAATATAATAAAACACATTTATTTGACAATAACTGGCATCACACAACTATGAAAAAGTGTGTGCGTTTTCATTCATATTTGCGGAAATATGCCAATTTTTTAGCCTGGGTTTGTTAACTGTGTGTAGGAACAGAAT